AAACAAAAAACTGCCATCATTTCTCTTCAGCCCCCTGGAGAGATCCTTGACAGTGGATTTCGCTTAGTCAACAGAGCTTTTGAGTTTCTGACTGTTGTTGTCAAAGGTGTTGATTGTGGATCCAAGCAAAATTCAACTATTAAGCACTTTAATCTTCTCTGTGGAGAGATCATGCTATCATGCTATTGCCTACTGGCCCAGTATTGATGATTTGTTGGGGTTGTTGTGTTTTTTTTTTTTTAAATAAAGAATTGACAGTTTAGTGTGTGTGTGTGTGTGTGTGTGTGTATCCTGTCAGATCAGAGCTGACTGTACAGGAAGAAATTGTTCCTCCTTCTCCAGCAGAGCACATGGTGGACTTGAACCGCACACCCCTGGGATTGCAGTGCAGCTTCTTGTCACTAAGCCACCAGAGCTTGCCAAGAGTATTTGTTTTCTTAATGTTGAGATGTAGTCCTTTATCTTCTACAGCATGCATTTCTGATTCTCCTCGCTTTCATCAAGCAAAGTTGTTTCCTCTGCATAATGCACATCTTTCTCAAATTGTAATGCCACATTCTTCTTCATAAAGTCCAGGTTCTTGAATTATTTGTTCTGTATATACATTAAACAGGTACGGAGAAAAGACATAGCCCTGATGCATACCTTTCTTGATATTCGGATGAGCACAAATAAGTGTTGTGGGATTCCCATTCTTCTCAATGTTAGTGATAATTTGTTAAGATTCACAGAGCCCAATGTCTTTGCAAGTGAGTAAAATACAAGCAGACCTCTTAGTACTTAATGCTCTCAGTCAAGATCCATCTGACATTAGCTATGATATCTCTAGTGTCATGGTTTCTTCTAAATCCAGCTTGAGTGTCAATGCTTGTCCTTTCATTTTCTCAATGGTAATTTTTTGTTTTCAGTGGTTTTACTAAATTTATATACTATAAATATTTGCCCATGAAACTATACAGATTATTATGTTTTAGTATAATTATACAATCATGCAGCCATGACCAATTTTAGTTTCTCTTCAAGTTTCCTTTATTCATTTGGTTAAATCTGTTCCCACACAACCACAAACAACCACTTATCCGAATTTTGCCTTTATAAATAAACTCTTTCGAAAAGAACCATCATTTTAAAAGTAATTTTTATCCTTATCATAAGAATAATGTATCCCAGAGGTATGCAGTTCAATCCACCAGATGCTCTGCTGGAGAAGGAGGAGCAATGGCAATCTCCTCCTGTACCAGTCAGATCTGATATGACCGTACACTAAAGTGGAAAAAAAAAAAGAAGAAGAATGTATAGTTAGTGTAGACAACTAATTTAATATATTTTCAGAGAAAAAAATTATCTGAAAAATAAATTCTATATTCTATGGTATAGAACTAAATATCAAGTTCCTTTCCTCCGAATAATGGATCCTTGTAGCTCCTGAATGCTACAAACAGTTAAGTCTTCAACTATTAGTTGAAAGGTTGGTAGTTTGACAAAGTGTTGCTCTCACAGCTCTGAGCACCCTCTGGAGTAGCTCTACTCTGTACACATGGTCATCATAAGTCACACAGGATTTGTATTAAATATTTCATGTACTGCCAAAAAGCCAAACATTTCTATTATTAAAAAGGACAACTACAATGGTCCTTAGAGGCAAAGACAACTAAACTTTGCTGACTAAACTTTGCCTCACATACTCTGGCCTTTTTTTCAAGAGGGACCAGTCTTTGAAAAAACATAGCATGCTTGGAAAGATGGAGGGACAGTGAAAAAAAATAAGATCCTCAGAAAGATGTACTGACTGTTAAGAAAGGGCTCGAGAGGATGTACAGAGAGGATGAGGTTGGCACAAGATATGATAAGGTTCAGATGAACAGAATTGCTAGGAGTTAGAGTTGACCTGACAGCAACTAACCACAACAAGAAAGGTATACAGAGACTCTAAGAATTTTACAAAACAATTAATCAAGTTTTAATGTGTCCTTCATCTTACTTGGCCAGGACAGAGAAAAATTCATATTCTAGGCAAAAGGAGCTGTGGTTATCACTGCTGTGCTTGCTGCTTATCACTAATTTGGAACCAAATCACAGATGACCCTCCAGTAGATTTTCAAAGGAAGTAAATCATTTGGAGGATATTATCTCTCTTTCTCCTATGGAGCAGCTAGGGTATTCAAACTGCCTGCCTTTATGTTGGCACCACAAGGCCACTAGCACACAACTGATTAAATAGCCCAATAGAGGACATGTGTTGTAGAAACTGTAAGATTCCTAAACAGCTCACTAGGAGAAAGAAAACCATTTCATACACACACACAAAGAGAATATGGTTCATAGTAAATGCCTATTTTCTTTGAAAAAAGTCACAATATTCCTTTTTAAAGGACCAAACTGAGCACAGCTGTAGTACCTATGAAGCCATCAGAGATGTACATATGAGTACTGCATACTAAACTGATATATGATCAAGGTGAATCACTCCGCTCAAAACTAAAGCTACCTAATTGGACAGTTTTGCTGGTCAATGGGATAGATTCACAAAAACTCCTTTGCTGATGAGGTTGTATTTAAGTGAAGTGGGAGGTCTAGCACTCCCTGACCTCAAAGCTACTACATAGTAGTAGTAACCAAAACAGCATGGCACTCGTACAATGACAGGCACATAAACCACTGGAACAGAATAGAGAACCCAAGACTGGACTCATCTATCTATGGTCAATGGAAATTCAACAAGGAAATCAAAGCTATCAAATGGAGAAATGAAAAACTCTTCAACAAATGGTGCTGGCAAAACTGGACTGCTAACTGCAGAAAGCTGACACAGAATTCACATCTCACACAAAAATCAACTTTAGATCAGAGACGTGGGAGTAAAGCCCAAATCACAGAGTTCATAAAAAAACAACCTGGGACCAAGCTTACCCTACAGTATAAAGAGACTGCCAAATACAGCCAGAAATGTACAATCTAGAGAGGATAAAATTGATGAATGGGACCTTCTAAAGATTACATCTGTGTTTCTCAAATACTTTTCCCAGCAGAAAAGAAAGCCTATGTACTGGGAACAAACATTTAGCAACACCATTTTTTACAAGGGTCTCATAACAAGAGTTTATAGGATATTCCTGGGCCTCCAGAAGGAAAAGACTTACAAAATGGGCAAAAGACATGGGAAGACTTTTTTTCCCACTAGTTTATTTACAAAATTCTAATACAAATTCAAACAAATTCTTTCAATTTCCCTCACACACTCCCCCGCCATCAAATTGTACAACCCAATGATTAGCCATGTATATCCACATCCCTCTGCTGACATGGAAAGACTTTTTCACAGAGGAAAACAGTCAGGTGACCAACAGACACATGAAGAAATGCTCAAAATCACTGCCAATCACTGGTTTTGAGATGAAAATCAAAACCACAATGAGATACCAACATAGTAGTAGTGGAAAAGTTTAGTAGGGCAGTAAGCAGTAAATGCTGGAGAGGAAATGGCTTGTGATGCATATTGTTCATTAAATACTAATGCATTTTGATACTATTTTACACAACAGTGCTTATAACTTAGCAGTCAACATGATTTTTCACCCTTTAATCATAACATATGTACAACTACCAAGAGAAAGGCCAAACTCTGTACTGGTATCTTGGTGTACAGCATCAAGGTATAGATTTGCTCAGCCAATACCCCACATACTTATAACTTCAAACACAAACGTACAAAGAAATGTAAAAACAACTCATAAACGTACAAAAGCAGAACTTTATAGAGAGATGACTGAAGAAGAAAGAAATGCGATAAAGTAAAAAGTATCTTGAAAATAGTGGTCTTGGAAGCTCTGTCATTGCCATCAAGTTGGAGCCAGTTTATAGCTCGGACCCAGGCTTCCAAGGCTGTAAATTGTTCAGGGGAAGCTTGCTCACCTTTCTCCTAAGAAGCTGCTGATGGATTTAAACTAGTAGAAAGTGGTCTTCAGTTAGCACTGCATTTCCTGGTGGACTACATTGCCTGAGTACTCACTGAACTTATTTTTGCTACATGCATAGCCAGAGTAATAGAAACTAGACCATTCTACATTAAAACAAAAACAAAAAACAAACCCAAACACCCAAACAGAAAAAGGCTCTACAATCCCATTTAGTTAGATATTAATGGCAGCAGTACATGGTTTAAATATATATTAAAGACAAATCAAAAACATCATACTATTACTCAAACATTTACTCTACTTAAGACTCTTCTTAGATGCCATCAATAAAAGTAGTTTCAACTCATGGCAACCTTCGCTGTAATAGAATAAAACATAGCATGCTCCTCCACTTTGATCACTGACATGTTTGAGCCCATATATGTGGGAAGTACAGACGAAAGACCAGTCATGATTACAACAGTCATTTTGGGATCCCTACTATCCACAAATATAAGAGTAAAGACCAAACGTAGTTGACATTTATCTATCTCCTGGTACTTCTCTCAAAAGGATCATAAAACCATGGCTTTTTAATCCCATAAATAATATTCACTTGAATCTTTCAATACCAATCCAAAAGGAGGGAAAAAAACCAAACTAAGTATCTACATGTCATAAATAAGAGAAGAAATAACCTGAAACTGGGCACTGATACTAGGAGGCTTCTTCTTTTTGTGCAAATGAAGAAGAGACTTGGTAATTCGATCCTGCAGAGTCATTCTTGTCAGATGCTTTAAAGAATTCACCTCTAGCAAGTGCTGGGGGGGGAAAAAAAGAAGGGAGGCATAAAATAACAAAACCATAAAATTCTTCACAAGAATAAATCTAATTACATAATCTTTAAAATTTTAAATACGTTTTCTTACATTATTTTCTATTGATAATGACTATGGTGAATATGGAAGCTAGATCTATTCAATAGCCATGCAACTCTTCTATTGCCTCCCTGCCAAAGCTGGAATGTTAAAAAGAAACATTCTACAAACTCTCTTGCATCTAATTTTTTGGCTGAGTTAGGTTTATCAATCTAATACCCACATATAAAACTAGGAAAGTGTAACTGAGACAAAGGCCTTGGTTTCAGACTTCTGTTCCTGTTTGCAAGTGTACCTACACATAAAGTGCTTTAGTTTTCTGTTGTTCCAAGTACTACTGTTTGTTGAGTGGTGAATGTGGAACACAAGATACTTCTGTGGTCACTGTCACTCTAGTAAATATTACCATTAGTAGTAGTGGCTTCATCTTCTCTCTAGGTTTGCTGCATTGAAAGAAGTGGTGAGCATGGTCCTTTGTCTTAATTTTCTTATAATGTCAATTTTTACATAACAATTTTGAGTTTCTGAAACCTAACCATGTAGTAAGTGAAGAAGTGGTACAAATATGTGATTCTTCTATTTTTAAGCTACATTTAATATAAAAAGATAAAAATATAGAATTGTCTATAAAGAATGAAATTATCTATTTCAGATGTGTGCCATGAAACTTAGTGAAAAGTTTTATCATATGAATAGAATAAAAATCATAGTGCAAATAACTCATTCAATGACACATAAATACTGTAACAGTGAAGGAAAGAGGAAGACAAAAGAACAGATAAAATATTTCATAATAGATGTTGGATCACTCTCTTTTTCTGTATAGAGTATTTTTTCATAATAAGAACATAATCCCAAATTATTCAAATAATATCTATTTGTACTCTGTGGTTTAAAATCATTTACTATTTTAAAACTATTGGCTATCTCTAGAAACCAGATTAACATTGCATTAAATTTTATTAAGAAATGTAAATAGAAGAGTGAATGAAGAGAGATTCATTTTTAAGTTTTTTAAACTTGACAAACACAGGAGAACAAAGTTGTTTGTGTAAGCGCCTTCAAATTTTAAGTAAAATTTATTAACAAAATTTCAAGTAATAGCATTCTTCCATTCAGAGAATAGTAAAGACACATTCATTAAATGTGTCCCACTAAGATTTTTTTTTTCCTTTCTTCAGTGAATTCTGTAAGTTCTTCATAAATACTATCTCTGCACTGACAGTGTAGATCAGATTCTACAAACTACAGCTTATGGACCAAATCCTTTCAGCCTGTCTTCATGGCTGAAAACAAACTTTTAAAAGAATGAAAATTTTATAACACGTGAAAAATCACATGAAGTTTGAATTTCAGGGTTTATAAATTAAATTTTCTTGAAATGTACTCAAATTCATTGGCTGCATATAACTATGGCTATATTTGTGTTATAGAAGCAGAACTGAATACTTATGACAGAGACTATACGCCTATAAACTTGCCTATCTAGCCTTTTAGAGGAAAATTTTGCTAAGCCCTGCTATGATAAGGTAAGAGTTCTGGTGGCCTATGGGAAAGCAGTTCCACTGCCAATCCAAAACCAGATTTCTAATCTACCAGCTTCTCTGTGGAAGAGAGATAGACAATCTCTTGTCACATGGCATATAGACTCATGCAGCAAAAATCCACTGGAGGATCAGCTATGACTCAGTTCCAACTAGAAAGCTATAGACAGTGAAGGCTTAAATAAATACTAACTAGAAAGAATGCTAACTAGTTGAACTGGAATTTGATCTTTATCTGGTTAAAAAGGGAAAGATATTAAAGAGTTAAAAACTAAAACTTTAATATTTTGAGCCAACTTTTCAAATATTTAACCTATTTTAAAATGTACTCATCTAAATAAATACAACTGAGTCCTAATCTTGTATATAAATATAGTCATATTTGTAAAGATTATTTGCATGAGTGGGAAAAATACACATAATTAAACTACTAAAAAGATGTTTTGTCATAATACTCACCTTTGGAAGGACAGGCTTGGATTTAAAGTTTTTGTTCCTCCTAGGGATAAAAATACAGTAATATTATAAGAAATCTCTGAAAAATGAAATATTTCAAAGTCTCTCATTGAATAACAGTCTATGTACCCTGTACGAAGACAACTTCCTTCAACCAAGTGGCATCCCTTTAGGAAGGAGGAGTAACTATGGAAAACACGGAGGAGCTGTTTGCTCTGTGTTATGGGTGTGAGTCGATGTAAGCCTGATGTGGAGTAACATAATGTGCATCCTAAGCTGCTTCCTCATGTCCCTTTCGGTGTTAGTGGACTTCTGCTTTCCTTCTACCACCTATGAAACTTACTTTCCGTCATTTTGAGACTTAAAATGTGTTGCCTACCATCACAATTTAAAAAATTGGTCATTTTACTATAACTTGCAATATTTAATTTTAAAATTTATAAATTCTCTCCCACTCTCTTTTCTTACTCACAATTCTAAGGTTAAATTAATACTTTTTCCATTTCTGTCTTCCCTTTTTTCCAACTATAAGAGAGGGAATAAATGAATGAACATGAAGAGAGTCAGAAAGATCTGGACCTTGAATCTAAACTACAAATGCTTGACTTTAATCTCTCAAGCCTCGGTTTCCTTAGAATAAAGCATAATAAGGAGTGTATTATCATTTATGTCTTAGAGTTGTTATGAAAAGTAAATGTGTTACTATACATTTCTGGACTATAGGATGCTCTATGTAAATTGAGCAATATTACTAAGTCATGATGTAAGGTACATTAAGGAGTCCAATTCAGTCTCTGCTCTAAGTAATGATCAAAAATGTGCTTGGAAAATATCTGGAATATGCTGTATAGGTAGCTAAGAACTTATTATTGGTTTATCAGGAATGGTTAGATCTATTTCCTCAAACCAATTCTATAACATATAATGAGGAAAGTCAGCCTTGGATAGGTATCACTAGATAGAATCTCATCCATAGTCCATAGAGGAGTTCACTGTTCAACTTACTAGAGCCATGAGAATCAAAGAATTACAACTTTGTAACTAGAGATCCTAAACAGGACTAATCTTTTTCGCTCCCTGGGAATAGGGTCTGAAGAAAAAGAGCAACAAAGAATAATTTTCAGAACATGTTTATTTAACCATAATATTCTTGGTGATGTGAGGAAAACTGGCTTCATAAAGCAGATGATTCATAGCTCTAAATACTTAGTAATTGTGATTCATTCATTCAAAGCTCAATTTTTGAAAATGATACTACATTATTTCTTACCTTTTTTTTTTTTCAGTCTGAAAACTTAAAACCAGTTAGTAAACCTAATCCACATTACTAGTGCCATACTAACGTGAGAATTCCATGGGCTCTCTCCAGGAGTTTGCTGCTGGTTGTATTAGCAAATATTCCATCTTTATCAAGCAAGTTACTACTTGACAGTCGGCTTGGCCGGATCCCTGTTCTGCCATTCCAGGTAATATCAAATGTATCACTGTTTGAAAAAAGAAACAAACTCTGCTTTAGTTAAGAATCAGGGTATACCCTCTAACCCACTTCAATAAATTAAACTTTAAGCACTAAAATTGTATTTTAGAAAAAGACAACGGATTAAAATTATTAGTGATCACAAAATGGAGAAGTCCAAATTCTCATGAAATTCAGATTTTTTTGAGCCATGGAGGTTGAAGTAACCTTCAAAACAACTTCTCTGAGATAATCTTTAAACTATAAACAAAAAAATAAGCCTAAAATCTCCTTAAAACCGAGATTTAACTAGTAGAACAGTTTTTCCCTGAGTGATCCATCTATTAAACTGACAAGACACTACAAACATTAGATAGTAACCTTGGGGAAGCAGCGAGTTTGTATTACTCAGGAAAAATTATTTAAAAAGGAGGGTGAGAATGTCTGCACAACATTAAGGATATAATCAATGTCACTGAATTGTTCAAGTAAAAAATAATGAATTGGTGAAATGAAAATTAATGAACTGTTAATTACACTATATATAATTTCAATTTTTAAAAAATATTTAATGGGGAATTCTCCAAGTAAGGATGGCAGAGTCAGTATATATTTTAATTCTTCCAGAAATGTCATAAAGTACTAATAAGATATTTTTTATGAAACAAGAACATTAGAATAAAAACAACATATAAAAAGCAACATACTTTTGAGATATGTAAAGGCGATGGGTCAAGTGGGAAAGGAAGGGTCTATGATTCTTAGTGGTATGGCAATAATGTACTGATGTAAGTGGCAGTTCCATGCCTTGATATAGTAGTCATCCTTCATTTTCACAACAGATGAACATTTACATAACACTGATAATACATAACACTTCAATTACATAACACTGATCTGGCATAGTGACCTGGTCACTGAAACCGTCAAAAGTCAGGAGTGGCTGTACTCAAAGACAAGAAAACAAAAAAACAATTACAAAATGGGCAACAGATCTGAACAGAAAGTTCACCAACGAAGATAACTACAAATAAGAAAAGATGTTCAAGATCATATGTTTTTAGGCAACTGCAAATTAAACACGGACAAACTGCTATCTATGGAGAAGAAGGGCTAAAATTCGAAATAATAAAATGCTGCTGAAAATGTACAGCAACAGAAATTTCCACCTGTTGGTGAAAATGCAAAAAGCAGAACCACTACTTTAGAAGAATATTTGGCAGTTTCATATAAAGCTAAGAAGCTGCCCTGCAATCACAAAGGCATGAGAATTTTATCTGTTAGTTACTCTACGGAAGTCAGGTAATTTCTTCCAGTATGGTTACTGCCTCTGAAAACCTGGAGGGTCAGCTATGAGTCAGTTTCAACTCAACAGTACACAACAACAACAACAACAACAGGCTTAGCATATGATTCCAGCAATCACCTGCCTACAAAACTGTGCACAAAAATGTCTGTATTACCTTCATTCATCATTGTCAAAAATTAAACTACTAAGATGCTCTTCAGTAGATAGACAAAATGTGACATATCCATATAACAAGGAATTAATCCATTATAAAAATCAGTAAGCTAGCTACAAAAAACCCCAAAACAAAACATAGGGAAAGCGTAAATATTTATTAATAAATGAAGGAAGGCAGTCTTGAAATGCTCCATGCTTTATTAATTCGTTTGCATATGAAAGTTGGACTATGAATCATCTAGTGTTAGAGAAGAGTACTTAGTGTTAGAGAAGAGTACTATCCATCCCATGGACTGTCAAAAGAACAAACAAGTCTGTACCAGGGTAAGCTCAGGCAGGGTGCTGCTTAAGAGGAAAGAACCATGAAACTTCATCTCATATACTTTGTGTAAGTTGTCGGGACAGATCAGTCCTTGGAAAAAAAGTATCATGCTTGAAAAGGTATAGGGTCAATAAAACAAAGACTCCAACAAGACGTACAGACAAAGTGACTGTAATAAGGGGCTTGAGTGTATCAGAAATGATGATGCTGGTTCAGAAGAGGGCAAGGTTTATGTTGTTTCTGGGGTCACTATGAGTCACAGGTAACTCGATGTAATCTGACAACAACAATGATATGATTCACAATTACTATACAAAAAGCCAAACAACAGACACAAGAAAGAGGTAAGTGATTGTAAGGGACTCAAGAGCAACAGGGATGAAATGAATGGGTGGAATACCAGGCTTTTTCTGTAAAATGAAAATATTTAATATGATAATGTAACTGTGGACACATAGGAATAAACATTTGTCAAAACCCACGGGTATAGACAACATAGAGAGTGAAACCGGTTGTAAATTATGAAAACTCTGGAAGTGCCTTAAAAATTTAGAGTTAACATCTGATTGGCAGCTTTCTTCCTAGGTAAATATTCAAGAGAATTGAAAATATATATTCTCAGAAAAACTTGTCATGCAAATGTTCCCAGCATTATTGATAACAGCCAAAATATATAAACACAAATGTTCATCATATGAGTAACATATAAATAAAATGTCATATAATAATAATTATCTGGTCATAAATATAAATGAAGTATTGGTTGTTTTTGTCGTTATGTGTCATTGAGTTGTCCATAATTCAGAGTGACCCTATGTACAACAGCTCTGAAGCCTGCTCTGTCCTGAGCCAGTCTCACTGATACACCTAATCCCATTTCCCCAGTTGCAGTGTCAATTTATCTCGTCCTTTCCTGTGCTGTCCCACCACCCTTCCAAGCATGATGTCCTTCTCCAAGAACTGATCTCTCCTGGCCACATGCCTAAAGTAAGACCGAGCTTCAAAATCTTTGACTCCAAGGAGAAACTTGGTTTCACCCTGTCCAAGACAGAGTTGTTCTTCTGGCAGCCCATGGTATTTTCAATAATCTTCTTCAGCACCACAATTCAAAAGCTTCAATTTTTCTTCTGTCATCCTTAGTCATTGTCCAGCTTTCTGGGGCACAATAAGTAATAACAAATAACTCAAGTACTGGTTGTTGCTGTTAGGTGTCATCGGGTCGCCTGTGACTCAAAGCAACCCTATGTACAATAGCCCTAAAATCTGCCCTATCCTGTGCCAATCTTATTGTCCCCAACACACCTACCCCCATTACCCCAGTCACTGAATCAATCCATCTCATCGAGGGTCTTCCTCTCCTACACTATTCCTCCACCCTCCCAAGCATGACATCCCTCTCCAAGGACTGGTCCCTCCTTGCAACATGTCCAAAGTATGTCAGACAAAGCTTCAGAATCTTTGCCTCCAAGGAGCAGCATGGCTTAACCCTCTCCAGGACGAACCTGTTTGTTTTCTTAGCAGTCCATGGTATATTAAATACTCTTCTCCAACGCCACAGCTCAAAGGCATCAATTCTCCTCCTATCCTCTCTAGTCACTGTCCAGCTCTTAGACGCATAGCAAGTGATTGCAAAGACCATGGCCTGTATCAGGTCCACCTTAGTCTCCAGAGTGACACCACTGCTCTTCAGTACTTTGGAGAGGCTTCTAACAGCAGACTTTCCCATCGCAATACATCTTTTAATTTCCTAGCTTCTGGTGCCAAGAGTGTTGACCGTGGAGCCAAGCAAACTAAAGCTGTACGTGCTACAATACAGACAACATTTAAAGCTTATTAAGTGAAAGAAGTCTAACAAAATAACCATATACTGTGTGATTCCTATGAAGACTGATATCAAGAAAAGGTAAATCTACAGATAGAAAGTAATTTTGTGATTGCCTAACACTGTCAAAGGTGGAAAGTGACAACAGGACAAAATTTCCTTTGACATGATTAAAATGTTATAAAATTAAACTATGACATGAACATCCCTGCTAAAGTATACATTTTATATGAATGAATTTTCAAGTATATAATTATATTTAAGTACATAATTATATTTAAATAAAGCTATTTAAACAAAGACTCAAAAATATGAAATGCTAAAACTAATATATAATGTAGTAACAGTTATAAAATTTAAAAAAAATTGTTTCCATCTAAGAGTTCAATATCTAGTAAAATTATTAATCAAGTCTAAGGGCAGAATAAATACATTTTATGATGTGCAAAGTTTCAAAGCATTTCCTTTCTAAGACATGCTTTCTAAAGGAACTACTGGAGAAGATACACCACCACAAAACTAATTAAATAAAACCAAAAGAAGAAATAGCACAAGAAACATTGGATGCAAAACAGCAAAAGAGGGCTTCAATATAAAGCCAAAGGAAGGTACCAGTATGATAGCTATGCACTACAGTGCAAACCTTTTTTACAGACTTAAAAAAATAATAAAATTCAGCAATCACTATGCAAGGCAGTATGGCACTTTCTCAAAAAGTTGCAAATTGAAATACCATTTGACCCAGCAATTCCACTACTGGGAATATACCCCAAAGAAACCATAACTGCCACCCAAGCAGATATATGCACACCCACATTTATCGCGGCTTTGTTTACAATAGCAAAGAGTTGGAAACCACCTAAGTGCCCATCAACAAATGAATGGATAGAGAACCTTTGGTACATTCACACAATGGAATACTATGCTGCATTAAAAAACAAGGAACTCAGGAAATATTATACAAAATGGGTGGCCCTACAGGACATTATGGTGAATGAAGTATCTCAGTCACAAAAGGACAAATGCTGCATAGTGCCACTGTTGTAAAACAGGACTGACATTGGGGTTGGGGGGAGACTCAAAAAGATGGTATCAATTATGTATACTGCATTGAAACAGATGAGGGAGAGAACTATTTAAAAGGGATATATGCTTAGGTATTATTGTCATGATAGGAGTCCAGTATGAAGGCTGCACAGTGGAATGGACTTGGGAGGAGGGATTGTATAACAATAAAATAATTTTTTCTTTTACTTTTCAAAGAGAAAAGAGAACTAGTGGGGAGATTGGGAAGGGAGAAAAGTGCAACAATAAATTAATGGAAATCCAAAATTAAAAAAAAAATAATAAAATTCTATGAGAGTTCCACAAGATAATGAAATGCATCCAAGACTGTATGTGATCAGAGGAAATTCAGTA